AAAAAAAAAAAAAAAAAAAAAATCAGGACTGAGAAGAAAGAGATGTGAGTTCTAACCCTTGGGCCTTCCACAAATTTGATGAGAGATCCAGCCTTCCTCTTAAAAATAGTAGGGTTGGAGTAGATGAGATGGGGCCCCTCTAGACCTAAGGATTATGGATCCAGACCCAGTCCAATGGAGATCGGGCTTATGGGGTCAATTGTCGTGAAATACTAGAATGCAGCTTCCACCGGAACCCATTCCTGGTAGCCTGGGACACAGCACAGGGAAGGGGTACACAGCAGCCTAGGCCTTCCCAATGGCCAGGATCTGGAGAGCTGAGGCTTCAGAATAACAGATGAGCAACGAAGGCTTTATCCCCATTCACAGAAACAGCTAGAGAGCTCCTGGAGCCTAGGAGCACAAGCATGACAACACATGATGAATGAGAAGGGTATCAAAGTCACAGAGGGGAGAAGTCAGGCATCATATCAAGTGGTCATTTTTACCAAGTCTTTCTGACTCAAACACCAGCTCTGGGAATTCACCAGGCAGAAAGGAGAGCCTCAGGACAAAACTATACCCCATCTCCACCTTGAAATCTGAGTGTAGCTCCAGCCCGCTCAAGAAAGCCAAGAGAGGGGAATATTTACATAAATCATAAAAATCTGGGGTGAAGACAATCTGTGGAGCTTGAGTAAAAGAAGCTCAAGACGAAGAGAAGAGCAACCCACTCCATTTGCACATAAGAGGGACCCATTTTTCAGAGATACAAGCAGAACATTAAAATGGCTTCAAGATCTGAGAACATCCAAGAATGACAGAAGCACAGGACAAACCCCAGCCTCTTTGCATTTTGCACCAATGACAACAACCAGGCCCTCATTCGGAGGCAGAGGAACAGAGTGGTTTCAAAGTCAGACTTCCAACTCCACCACTTCCTAAATGGATAACCTTGAGCAAGTTCTTTAATCTTCTGTGTCAGTAAAATGGGAATAATATCTCCACCTCACAGAGTTGTCATAAAAATTAGGTGAGATAGTAAAGACAGTGAGATCCTTGAGGCCAGGGGCTAGTGGGGAGAGACGTTACAGTGCGATCTGAGAAGCGCTGTGACAGAAAGATAAAGTCCCGAGGAAATTTAGAGGAGGGACCAGGAGAGGTGTTCTTCTGGTCTTGTAAAGTGAATTAGGGTCGGGCGCGGTGGATCATGCCTGTAATCCCAGCACTTTGGGAGGCTGAGGTAGGTGGATCACTTGAGGTCAACAGTTCAAGAGCAGCCTGGCCCACATGGTGAAACCCCATGTCTACTAAAAATACAAAAATTAGCTGGGCATGGTGGCAGGAACCTGTAATCCCAGCTACTCAGGAGGCTGAGGCAGGAGAATCACTTGAACCTGGGAGGCAGAGGTTGCAGTGAGCCGAGATTGCGCCATTGCACTCCAGCCTGAGAGACAAAGTGAGACTCTATTGCCAAAAAATAAAATAAAATAAAATAAGTAAAAAAGTGAATTGGAGGGTTTTTTCCCAAGAGGACAAGAAGTAGTTCAGTGCTCACACGAAGTAGTTAGATCTGCTACTTTTGGACATGGGTCCTCGCGTCCAAAACCTTACCAGTTGTCTTCAAGAAAGAGACCAAATGGATCAGAAAAAAACTACTAGGAAAACAACTACAAACACTCAATAGTTGCTGATATTAAGCCACTAATTTGCTTACCATCTAGAAGTACAGATAAGGAATGACCACAAATATTGACAACACAGGCAGAATGTGATGAGAGGGCTCAAATACACGTTTCCAAGGGCTCAAAGAACATAGCCAAGAAGGAAGGTTGGCTGGAGGAATGGATCAAGGAAGGTTTTATGAAGATGGTGGCATTTAAGCTGGGCTTGAAGGATTGAAAGAAACACAACTAATTCGTTCCAGGCACTGTGTTGAGTGTTTTAAGGCAATACCCCAGTTAGTCATCAAAAGGCTCATTCTCACTTTGCTGATGAGGAGCTGAAGCTCACAGAAGTTGTATAACTTGCCTAAAAACACTCAAACTATTGGCAGAGCTGGGATTTGAACCTGGTCTTTCTGACTCAAACCTCAGATCTAGGATTTCACCAGGCAGAAAGGAGGGCAAATGAGTGGTGTCTGTAGGAGAACTGTGAAAACAAAGGGAAAAACTAAGAAAGTTGGCATGGATGAGTATGGAGAACAGCACAGCAGGCCCTGAGACAGGGTGTATGCCATGCCAGAGAGGGAGAGAGGCCTGAGCAGGAAGGAGAGGAAAGGAATCTAATTGCCTGATGGACTCCACCCCTGGGGACTCCATCCTTAGGGGAATGCATTCCTAAGGAATGCATTCCTAGACTCCCAGGGGTCTCCTCATCCTTAGTGACTCCATCCTTGGGGACTGCATGCTTGGGGACTCCATCTTTGGAGGGCTGCATTCTTGGTGGACTCCACCCTTGAAGACTGCATGCTTGTGGACTCCATCCTCGAGGACTGCATCCTTGGTGGACTCCAACCCTGGGGACTCCATTCTTGGGGATTCCATCTTTGGCTATTCTATCCTTGGGGACTCCATCCTTGGCAGATTCCATCCCTGAGGACTGCATCTTTAGGGTACTCTGCCCCTGGGGGACTCCATTATTGGGGAATCCATCCTTGGGGACTCCATTCTTGGGGACTCCATCCTTGGCAGACTCTATCCTTGGGGACTCCATCCTTGGCAGACTCTATCCTTGGGGACTGCATCTTTAGGGGACTCTATCCTTGGGGACTCCATCCCTAGGAGAATGCATCCTTAGGAGACTCCATCCTTGGGGACTGCATCCTTGGGGACTCCATCCTTGGGGACCACATCTTTGAGGGACTCCATCCTTGAGGACTGCATCCTTGGCGATTCCATTTCTGGGACCTGGAGGAGCTCCTGAAAGCCTCTGCAGCAAGGAGAGGAGTTATCCAAGCTGGGCAGGAGGAAGCACCATGTGATATTTGGATAGCCAGCTTGTCTTCCAAATTTGGTGCTGGCTAATGAGGAAATGGGTTTGCACACTGCTTGCATGGTGGTGGGAGGCAGTTAGGAAGCATACTGGGTATGGAAGGAGAGTGGGCCCAGGATTTAAAATAGACCTCGGGGAATCCTCAGAGGTAACAATTCCTGCCAAGATCCTCCAAGAGACACCTCCAGTCACAGTGACCTCGAGGGCTGGATTTGAAAGGAGAGAAAGGAGAGAGCAAGACACTGTCTCATCAGGTGCCCCTGGTCCTAACTGCTATGTTCTGAGAGCCTCTAGATGATTCCAGGGATAATTACCAAGTCCAAGGGAAAAAGGGAAATTCTGCCTCCTTCCAGTCTTTGGAGCTGGCCTTTGACCCACTCCCATGGCTGCAGAAGCAAAGGGAATGGAGACCCCTCAGTGCTGGTTCTCAGGCAGGTCCTCCCCAGAAGGCCATCTCCCTGACCATTCTAATCAAATGAGAAAAATAACCTGGAAACCACAGTGTTCTCAGATCCTGGCCCTCTATCTTATTAAGGCTGAAGACAGATGTCATTTCTCCCTGTCCTTGCTCCTGGCCCACCAAACGTGGGGGAGACAGAATATTGATTCAAATCACTCCACCCATCATCACCCTTCTTATCACATAAGTGTTGTTCCAATCCCAGGATGTCACCCAGACACTACAAAAACTTGATTGAGGCCGGGTGTGGTGGCTAACGCCTGTAATCCCAGCATTTTGGGAGGCCAAGGCAGGAGGATCATTTGAGGTCAGGAGTTCGAGACCAGCCTGGCCAATATGGTGAAACCCCATCTCTACTAAAAATACAGAAATTAGTTAGGCATGGTAGCAGGCACCTGTAATGCCAGCTACTCGGGAGGCTGAGGCAGGAGAATCACTATAACCTGGGAGACGGAGGTTGGAGTGAGCCGAGATCATGCCACTGCACTCCAGCCTGGACGACAGACTGAGACTCCGTCTTTAAAAAAGAAAGGAAGGGAGGGAGGGAGGGAGGGAG